TTATTACCGCTCTTTTGAGAGGCTGCAGTGCGCTTCTGCACGTTGAGGACCTCACGATATGGTCCAGCTGGTGATTTAACTTTCCGCCAAATGCGTCGCGTTCAGCCTTCTCATCAGTATTTAAAAGACCTCGCATATTTTTTCCGAAGCCCATCCTCGCCTTATCCATTCCCATCGGAGGTTTCACACCCGTCTTAGATGTCAGATATCACGAGGATCTGAAGGTAGGGATCGCACTCAATCTTTCTCTCTTGATGGTGACACTCCATCCTTTCAAGAAAGGACGAAGGTTTGTGTGTCGTCGAGTTCCTACTGCATTGATGTCCTTGTAAAATGGACGGATTTCTAGAAACTCCACAGTGAAACGTGCGGCATACATGGTGAATCTGTTGCGTTCCCAGTTATTCAGTGACTCACAGTTTCGCCTTTCCATTCACATATGGGTCAACCTCATTTGATCGTTATTTGCGTCTGATTCCAGTGTACTTTTTTTATGACTTGTCTGCCGCAAGTGGTATGTCTACGTTTATGTAATACTTGATGATGCTTTCAACTGACTGCACATTCAGTATATCCGAACCGACACAAGAAGAGCGCTACTTTTGGTGCCTTTCTCAGTTCTGTAATTCTGTCTTTTTCGTTTCATGCTTTGCTTGTGGTTATTGAAATGAAGGGTTCAACAGCTCCCTTCCCCGGGTTGTTATTTCCGAACCGCCTGGTTCATACTGTGTTCCTTTTTCGTAACCATATTCCCGGTTTTGTCCCGACCGTTTTATAGCTCATGCCTATTTCTACCTGGTGCTGTCCCATTTTGGCTATTAGAGTCTGTGGGTCCTGTCCTTTCCCAAACGGCGTTCTCACTCGGACCTCAACAATTAACTACTCGTCTAAATTACCCCCTTTCTGTCTGGATCTATCTTGAATCTGGTTCGACCACGCAACCCTTACACGATTTTAAAGACGCTAGCTCCTTGAGTGACCAATGATTTGGGTCCAGATGCCAATTATCTGCATTGGGTTTTCACACGTCTTACCTTCCTCTCTAGATCTTTAGTGGCACGAATGCGGTTGTCATTTGCACGCCAGGTTTCCAACTGAGTCTGATGTGCCGATCATTCCAAGCTTCCCACGTACTTGCTGCATTCAGAACAAGGTAGTAAAGATAGACGCAATATTTTTAGGTGAAACACCTTTTCGATGCCTAGCCACCACCCCGAAGAAAATCATTCCAAGCTTCCCACGTACTTGCTGCATTCAGAACAAGGTAGTAAAGATAGACGCAATATTTTTAGGTGAAACACCTTTTCGATGCCTAGCCACCACGCCACCCGAAGAAAGTGCGATGGCTGATATAGTGCCAGAGATGGACCGAGTGGTTAGAGCGCGAATTTACTGACAGGAAGGTCTGTGGTTCGAACCCGACCTATGCCTCTCGAATTCCCCTGTCTAGGCTTGGGCAACCTGGCAGTATCCCAGCCCTCGTGCCTCCTTAATGTGGCACGGCAGCTAGGCACCGAATGGGCCCTACAGCTGAACGATATAGTGCCAGGTTGCCCAAGCCCAGATAGAAGTCAGGATGTAGAGGTCGGGTTCGGACCACAGACCTTCCGGCCAGTACATGTGTGTCGGACTCTGACCTTTTCGATGCCTAGCCACCACGCCACCCGAAGAAAGTGCGATGGCTGATATAGTGCCAGAGATGGACCGAGTGGTTAGAGCGCGAATTTACTGACAGGAAGGTCTGTGGTTCGAACCCGACCTATGCCTCTCGAATTCCCCTGTCTAGGCTTGGGCAACCTGGCAGTATCCCAGCCCTCGTGCCTCCTTAATGTGGCACGGCAGCTAGGCACCGAATGGGCCCTACAGCTGAACGATATAGTGCCAGGTTGCCCAAGCCCAGATAGAAGTCAGGATGTAGAGGTCGGGTTCGGACCACAGACCTTCCGGCCAGTACATTTGTGCTCGGACTCTGAGCCATCTCGTCCCCACATCCAGAACAGCTGCTTCCTGCACAGCCGCCCTATACTTTTATGAATGGATGGTATTATCTTTTGGATGCAAAGAAATCCAGTGCTGGGTTTTGATCGAGATCTGACCTCTCCCCCACCCTATTCCTTCAGTAGGAAGGTCAATCACCCACCCTTTTTCTCTTATTTATGCTTTTATAGACGGTTTAACTGTAGCATTTTCCGTTATCGTCCTCAGCGCTCCACTTTCTTCCAACTGCTCTGACCGTGCACAAGCCACTTCTGCTGTATATACCAACCTTGCTAATGTCTGCGACAATAGCTTGTCGAATACATCAGTGCTCCAACCTTCCTACCCCCTTCATATGTCTAGATTCCGTCTTCATTCCACGTCCGATTGATACCTACTCATTGGATTCACTATCATTCCGCGCCCTCTCTTCGTTTACTCTTCATCCTACGTATGCTTTAATCCCTCAACAGTATCTGGGACGGTTAATTTTCTATTTTGCTTGCTGGCTAAACAGCTCGGTTTTATAAGGACCAATTTGGTTGGGACATCGTATCTGCAATGTTTAATTACGTCGGATAGTTTTCGGCGGAAGTAACTTTCCGGTGATAGATGGATCCTTTTCCCTCCATACTTTATGCTGCCTTGGTCAAGTACTCCGTATGTTAGTCGACCAACTCCCTCAAAGAGCTCTTTTCGCACAACCACGAAGTGGAAACGAGCCAGAATGGTTAAGCAGTGGCTTGAGAGTAAAGTATGAAAGGAATCTCAGCTGCGTTGGCCATTGCCGTCTCCTTGGTTGAAGACCCTTAGATGGTACGCATCAATACTTAGAGACATTAACAAGCAACCCAGTCGCGCATGGTGCGCTGCATCCAGGTTGTTGCATTCAACACCGCATTCCGCCGATGAAAAGCCCACCGGGGCTCCTAAATTCACGGATCACTTACATCAGCTAAGACCTCCGATGCGTAGCTATCCAGTCCCGATCTCCCCAGATCATTTGTGGACGAAACTGTGACAACTGTAACACATACACGCGACTTTTGTGGCTGAAGATGGTGGCGATGACTGCAAGTTGTACTCCGTGGCGGTGTTCTTCAGGTTTTTAGTATCAACGCGGGTTCCGTATGACTCCGTTCAATCCACGTTTCTGATTACACTCACTAATCTGCAGTCGATATTGACGTCCACAAATCTACTACTCACCACCCTTGTCTCGGGTAACAACCACAAACAAACCCACACGTCAGCGTCTCGAATGGCGATCCTGTTGCCACTCACGACTGGGATTTATCAGAAACACTTGCACCCAGCTCTTCCGCACCCTTAAGTCTTTCCATCCTCTCGTTTTCCGCCAACCACATTCCATCCAGTTGTCTCGGCTCCACTTCGTGCCTCTCCATCTTTCATCCACCAGTCTTTCTTAGTTATTTCATCGGACAAGTTACGAGTCAGGCCCCCAGGACGTTTGCCAAAAGTCCTTCCAACTGCTCTTAATTTGCAGGTTCAGACCCGTCTCCTCCCGTCTACTACTGTTGTCATGTGTGGAGTGGGACACCTTCCACTCACTTTTCACTTCTAGGCCAAGTTCGCCACGATAGGTCTTTTCTGGAAGTTTCATTTTCTACAATTTTTGAGCCATTCGCTCGTGCAACTCTCCTGTTCACTTCGAGTCACTCAGTTGGAAATTTTCTATTTGCACACGAAACCTTCGTTTTTTCTTCAAAAATGGACGAATCTGGAACACCCCAAATGAAGTGATTTAGTCAGCTAGTTAAAACATCTCGCTAATTGATTCCCGACAGTCCTGGTAGATTGCTCACCTAATCTGACGAAACTAGTGTCAAAAATCAAACGATACTCATCAATAAGTTCACTTATTTTTCTTAAAACTTTTCTGGAATGACTATTTCTCCCAGATATTTTCGGACTGATTGATGATCCATGCTTCTGTCTACCCGAAAGCGTCTAAGGCGCATATTTTCGAAGTGAAATGAACGATGGTTGTACGAAGTTCTGCTCAGTTAGTATCCCAGTACTGCAGAACGTGTCCATGCCCCAAAGGAAAGTAAATCATAAACTGTATTACCTTTTTATGTGACGTAGGTTTCAGTTGACGTGTTTGATGATAGCATGGAGAGAGCCTCTAACTAGGTATTATTTCCGTCCGTATGTGATGCTACGGTCCCGGAATATCCCCCATCAGTTATAGCTGCTCAACTTGACGAGGTAATTACCTCCACCGTTACCTGCCAAAGTGGTGTTGTTCCCGTAGCACTTGTAAACCTCGCTATTTATGACGGTTTCGCATCGCTTGAAGGTATCTTCATACGTCTAGCAAACGCACTAGTCTGCATACCAATTTGGTTTTCACGGGAGACTCACCCGAATCGCAGCTGAATCTCCCGTTTATGTTCTTCAGCTGGATGTGCTGCACCAGGCCGCCTCATGCTTTAGCTGGTACGATATCCAAGTATCGCGATACTTGGCACACACGTAACACACTACTCACAAGGTTGGTGAAAACTCTTCGACAGCCCACGACCGGTTTCGCCCTGCTTGGGGCGAAGAACACCATAAACAAGAGATTCAGGTGAGATTCATGTGATCCTGCCGTAAAAACCAAGTTACTGCGCATATGAGTGTGTGTCGAAGCTCTTTCACTTTGAGTTGAAGCAGAACACAAGGGTGAAGGAAAAATAAGCTCCAAGAAAGGCGGAATGGGTTGTGGGCTATGGAATGGTTTTCAACAATCTTATGAGTAGCGTCTATATCTCCAACAACATTTCTGCTTTTTTGCCTCGCGACTACCGTAAAAATTCCAGCTAATGTTATTTACACACCCAGGCAGCAGTATGACTCTAAGGTTGTGAATACTGAACAATCCAGTTTGCTGTTTAATTTCTCCTTACAGTTTGCTATGGACAAGACTTAATTAGTCCATCTACGGCGCTATGCTTCAGAGCACTTGAAAACCTTTTACCTGCTACGCATCAGTTTATCCTACCTTCCGCTTCCTGATGGGTGGCGGTTTGTCCAAAATCATACCTGGTATTTACGTGGGAGGTTTGGCTGCTGCCAGGTCTCAAATGCAGCTTGAAAAACACCATATCACACACATATGCACCGTATTACAAAACACAGTCGAAGTGAGTACCTCTCTGTTCGAAGTTTTCACGATGGTCGAAGATCCCTAACAGAAAGCAAATTGTGTTCCGCGCGGACGACTCCCCTTCTGAAGATCTATCCAAATTTTTCGAGGACGCCTGCTTTTTTATTCACGAAGCTCGCGTCGCCGATGGTGCTGTTCTCATTCATTGGTAAGTTCTCAGCTATCTTAATTTAACGTGATTTGTTTCATTTTCTGTTTCATACACAGTGATCACCGATAGTTTCATTTCAGCTGACGAGTAGCTCTTAATTGATTTTTGGTTCCTTTTGGTCTCGTTTTGGACTTTGATCTGGCTACAATTAATAATTAAATCTGTAAAACCGAGCAATGTAACTAGTCTGCTTGGTGGTGTTTTGCGTTATCTTTGATCCACGGTAGAGAAACTTTGTTGTCAATTTCAGTTCGGGCCATTCTCCTACGTACTCTCCTGTACCTTTCTTATGCATAGTGTTGTACGCCATCGAATATCTTGTTTGGTTTCCGAACGCATGACTGAGTACATCTGGCCCCAGACTTTCCCGAATAAGCACAGACTGACTTGTTCCCCCTCCCCAGCCAACAAATCCTTGGATATAGTGTTTGGAATTAACGCTGGTTCACTACCCTTCGGAATCTGAATAAAATTTAAAAATTCAGGAAGGTCTCACAAAGAATTAAACGGTAACTAATCAAGTAGTTATCTTAATTAATACGACTGGCTGTGGGTGATTTAGCGAGTGGTGTCTGCCTACTTCCTAATAGCCATACAGACATTTGTGAAAATATTTATTCAGTAGCCCATTTGTTAACAACGGATTCGCACTACACCGACTGGAAACCAACTCCACAGCAACTTAAACTTACCGTCCCAATCTTTAAAAAAAACTTTTTCAGCAGAACGTTTGCCACCTCAGGTCGTTTTGCGAGTCTTAAGAGAGAGGCCTGGTGAGTTACAGCTAACGGAAAATGAAAATTAACAGTTTGGATCATTGCGGACGATAGTCATCATAATTATCGCGAAAATAGCACATTTACGGGGTTTCACCCGAGAATGCGGATACCTCAGACAATGTAACAATACGTTATGTCGCTCCATAGTGGCCTCACATTGTTATGCCACTAAAATTGCAGGAGTAGTCAATCGCCTGGGGGCACAGTGATTACTGACTGAACTTAAACTACTGTCGGGTAGAAAATAAACACAGGCCTGCTGTCTGCTGCACATGAACTATTGGATAACCACACTGCAATGTGCACATTGACGGCCTATCGGGTGTTATCGACTCACTCAATCTGAATCAATGAAGCATAACATCCGGAGGACACTGTCAGGAATTGAGTCCACGAAACAAACAGGAAAGATTCCAGGACTTTTCTTGTAGAAAATACAAGACCAATAATGAACACAGCAAGTGCCAATGGTCAACTTGTAAACTACACCATTACAGAGTCTGTGCTATTCTTGTACTTATCAGACATAGGTGAGTTCCCACACCGTAACTTGTTTGCTGTTCGAAGCAGGAAGCAGGATACTACCAGCTTGTCCAAGCCTAGACAGGAGAAGTCGGGTTCGAACCACGGACCTTCCGGTCAGTGATTTCGAGTCCTAACCACTGAGCCATATCGATCCCATATCCAGAACAGTTGCTTCCTGTATATCCACCCTGTACTCTTACGAATGGATGGTATTATCTTTTAGTTACTGTTACTTTAGTTCACGAAGCTGAACCACTATTTTCGTGACTTTCGTCCGGTTTACCGTAAAGCACTTGTTTGCTATTACGTTTTACAACACATTCCAACGTTTCTTTCAAAAACTACCTAGGGATTTTACAGTAGATTCACGGCCTTCATCAAAGAGTAGTACCAGGTTATTTTCCCCTTACGTACCCAAGCTCTGGCCAGTTTTGTTGGACCCAGCAAAATTATACGGAGGTTTTGCCGAAGATCACGCAATATCATATTCAGTTCCGGTACTTGAACTTTTTTTTACATCTGGACGACGGAAATATCATTGCCTGCTTTTTTGGTAGTAAGATGGGAGTAGTTTGGATTAGTTGTACTCAAGCGTGAATACTGGGTCAAATAATGGCTCTTATCCTCATACCGCAGAACCATATTTTTGTAAAGAAACGACGAAAACGGGTAATTGAATATTACCCTTTTCCCTTTTGGGTCAAAAATTGTCCGAAACTGCAGGAAAGGTATCAGGTTTTGGACAGCGTCAAAAACTTGAACCCAAACTGCTTGGTCATAATAGATAGTTATTATAGCACCCGGATGGCTATCGGGACACATATTTGGTGCTCTAAAATTTTGTTGTGCCAGTTCGATTGCCGAAATGAAGTAGGCACTTTCGTTGCGTTCTACTCCAAGTAAATGCTCCTACCTATATTCCAATCTTACTAGCCAAAGCGAACTCAGGACAGATCGAACCTCTGTGTTGGGAGCATTGATCGGTTGCAGGCGCTTGTATCCCATATATCAGGAGCTATGTACGGCTCCTTTATTTCGCTTGCATCCGTAAAGGCACGTCGAACAATTGTTTGTCAACTGTGCAGCTAAATCGCACTGGTATGGTTTGATGTTGGCAGGTGATTCGCCACTGCAAATGAACATAACATATTAGTTAAACGTCACCTCACGTAGGAGTGCATTTTCCACGTCATGGGCCAAGAATGTGAAGTATTCATGCCATTTTTGTCGAAAAGTGTCCCAATGGTGCTTTGCACAGTGCATCCCTCTAGTTTGCGCACAACGCTGTTGGCGGGTTTAATTGTATGCCGGCGAGAGATACTTTTTACCACACACGATATCTAGCACCGTGGTAATGGGGTGTGCTTTAGAATGTCCGATACTGTGCTGTTTTTTCCCGGTTGTCTAAACCAGCTGATTCCGAAACTTGCACATGGATGTTAATGCACTGCTTCATAATCAGCCCCGATTATGGCTGGTGGTAACAACGAATTATCACTTTAATTCGGGTTTATCTGTTATCACACATGTCACTTCAACTTGGCATTTTTCCGGTTGAAGATAGGTTGACTTGTTAGATCATCGTCGGACGCAATTCACTATTTAACAAAGGTAGTCTGTAAGTATACTGTTCTTGGCCTTTTATGGGAGTTCTTGCACAATTATTGGTAATCTGAAGGCCGCCGAAAGTAGATGTGGCTGGTGTTGATCAGGTGGCCGTTGATCTGTTTGCCGAGCTTGGTAATTAGTTTGCAAACGTTTCGTCTCCAGTTGAGGACGAAACGTCTGCAAGCTAATTGCCAATTTCGGAGAACAGCCCAGCGACCACCGGACCAACCACAAGTAAGCGCATCCGGTCTCGCAATATTTCAACACATTGACAATAGGTATGGTTGTCCTTGTTTTAACACAGAGCATATTCGTCTCAGTATAAGCTCATCTGTCGTTCGATATTAATATGCCAGTCCGTAGTATTCCCTTGTCAGGGCAGATTCTCTTGTCTCCAGAGTTATTGAGGATGTGAGATGATTTAGGCATATACGGACACGGTCTGTTCCCTGAGGTTACCGCGACTTTCACCTGCTAGATATTGAGGCACCTCCAAAATTGTTGCAGGCAACGAAGAGCGATCAGTGAACAAATGGTTGCACATTGTCCACCAGTTTTTAGTGTAGTGCTGAATTCCTTAAGCATACGAGGAAGGAAACGTTCAACATCAGCCTGGATATCCAGTTTTCCAACCAGCTTCTCGAACAATAATGCAGTCCTTCTCAATGTGCTGGTGACAATGAGGGTTTAGCTGGTTCACTGTCGGGTTTGCGTACGGTGAATCGGTATGCCGAAATGTGGTTGGTGTATCATTCACGTAGCAACATGGAATCACAAATGCAATTTGGGAATTAATGTGAGCGAATTCCCCTTGGCAATACATACATATACATATACAAGCACCGTTTCGCAATAAACGAAGCACTGTCCCTTAACAAGTTCACCGCTCAGTTTCCAAACTACTATGGGTCGATAGCTTCTTTGTCGGTTTCAAACATCTGATACTTGAAAACTGGCTGTTCCTTTCAACATGTCACATGCCACCAGTGTGATCCAACTGGCCTGGTATGTCATGCTTGGAGCGACAATGATAAGTCTCTTCCAATATTTCCTTTGCGCGAAAGTACTAGTCACAACGGTCAAAATTACTTTGATCGGGTGAGCTTGTTTGTATAAGTGTTATATATATATATATGATCAACGCCAGCGCGACTGTCTCATGACCATGTAATTTCTTTAGATAAATCTCAATACTGAAAAGAATAGCTTAGCACAATCATTGGGGGAGCTTAAGCCTTCAAACATTTACTCAGATAATCCGGATCAAAACTCACGCTCGCCCCTCGGAAGAGGGGCGACTCCCTTGGAAATACACCAACAATGGTCTTCATCACCCACAGTTTCGATGACATCCTTCTCGAAGAGACCCAAAAGCTCTATTCCCCGTGATGCCTTCTCTTCAAGTGGATTATCATGTTTGATCCATACTGCTTGAAGCGCTGGGTATAAGTCATGGAGATTCTGTCATTTCAACCATTTTGTTTGACCTAGTTTTGGTTATACTCAATAGCGATGTATGGGTGGTGCACGTACACGCACGAACACGGAAATCGCATAACAGGCCATGTGACCACCGGTTTAGTTGATTGTAATGGCGCGCGTCAAACGAAGAACGGAGTCACGTTTGTCCAGAATGTCGAGCAAGCCGTGCAGTTTACGTATGATGTATGATCCCAGAAACTACCTTGCCACATGAGCGGTGCCGGTTACAGTGTTGATAAGAAATTGCTGGAGGATCACTGTGGCGAAAGGCGCATTCCCCGGTTTTCTCGCTTGAACACCCTATGATTGTGTCTGTTGCTCATTTTACATACTCGATTGATGTGTGGAAAACTAAACTTGTAATGTCAGTGATTTTCTGCCTCTCTTATACACATCAGAGGTAGAATTATCGTTTGTGAAGGGAAGATGTTTTGATACTCCGAATGCTAGTCCGATTGAATCCTGAAGCAGCCTTGGTTTTGGGCACTGAGTGGGAGAACATCATAAACAAGAGGTCTAACTGAGTATACTAATTAGTTGAAATGATCGTAAAACATGATTTTCGAAATACGATCACTTTTCGTAATACCTTCACTTGTTTTT